CCCCCCTTTCAGGCCCAGCCCCCCTTCCACCTCCTCATCTCCCCGCCCCACCCAGTGTCTCTTAAGCATAAAAGCCATTTGTCTCTCTCCCCCCACCCCCGTCCTTCACTCCTACCTCACTACCCCCATTTTACCTCCCATTTACCTCCAGCTACTTCCCCCCCTTTTTGAGTTCCTATCCCTCTCCCCACATCCTCCTTACCCCATCTCCTGCTTGTCTGCAGCGCGCCCTCCTTCGCACCCCCTCTCTTATCTCTTCCTTGCCCCCTGTCCTTTCTATAACAAAGACTTCCTCTCTTCCCCCACCCCGGTGAGGTAGGCGGGAGGGGGAACCCGCACGGTCTTTCTATCTACCCCCTTCCTTTCCCCTCCCTACCTTCAGCTCGGCCGCCTCCGCCATCTTGAGACATCGTAGCCGCCTCGGCTAGAAGCGGGGACTGGCCAAGGGAGCGGAGGCAAATTTCTCAGCAGGCCACTAGCCGCAGAGGCGACGCGACTGAGAACCGCCCCCTTGAGTCCTTTCGCAGCGCCGAGGAGCGAGGGGGCGTGGCTAATGCGGCGCCGTAGAGAACCGAGGGAAGGGCTGTAAGGGAGCGGTGCAAAAATCCTCGGTACACCGTCAGACGCATCAGATGCGCTCCCCCTCCCACACACACAGTTCCTTCGCGTTCTTTCTGCCTTCGCAGTCCTTCCACGCGCGGTGGCTCTAAGATCAACGTTGCTCTGGGGGACAAGAGTTTCTGCCGTGCATCCAGGAGTTCGTTGCCTTTAACAATAACTTGATATGTAAAGTTAATTTTTTTTAAATAAATTTTTATTATTGTTTTCCACAAGTTAATAGACATAACACCATAAACATTAAACATAGACTCACAGCGTCCCTACCCCCCCACCAGCTATCCCGCCAAACACACATAGCCCCATATCTCACCACCCTCACAACAAAACACAGAGCTCCTCCTATTACAAGTTATTTCACCTCTTTTTCCAGCCATCTATATACAGGTGTCCAAATATTTTGATATGATACATTCATGTTCCCGTTCACCTTTTGTGTTAAGTTATCCATTTCAGCTACATCAATTATTTTGCTTATCAGTTCCCCTTTGGTTGGTACCCGTTCAGACTTCCAACCCTTAGCGAGTATTATTCCATATCTTTTACCACTTCCTCGGATCCACCTCACCTCCCATATTTTCTAACCATGGCTTCATAGTTATATTCATGACCTCGTCTTGTAGCTCTTGCTCCAACAGAAAGGCATATAATTTCCCAATCATTTTAATATCCGCCCCTAAGAGGATTTTATCTAACTCCGTTAAAGTTAAATTTAAAGTAAATAAGTAAGACCGGGGCGCAAGCACAGGAACCTGTCGAGTGCGTCAATGCCAGCATTGCCAACTCTGACTGGCAGCGTTTTTCGTACAACCTAAGACCTGATTCTTTTCGCTGGAGATGCAGGGGATTGACTTTAGGATGTTCTGGGTTCGAAGCGGGTGCGCTACCGCTGAGATACAGACCCTGTCGCTATACTGGGGCCAGGCTTAAGTCTTACCATGATATCTTATGACATTTCAGAAATGAAAGAGAAACATTGCCTTTCATGAGATGACAGGTATGGGTTGTAAGTGGGATAGAGCAGGTCGAGAAAAACGTACTTTTCTCCCGTTCTCACGATACAAGAACTGGTGGGCACTCCATGAAATTGCTGAGCAGTCCGGTTAGGACAGATAAAAGGAAGTCCTTCTTCACCCAAAGACTGATTAACACATGGAATTCACTGCCACAGGAGGTGGCGGTGGCTACAAGCATGGACGGCTTCAAGAGGGAATTAGATAAACATATGGAGCAGAGGTCCATCAGTGGCTATTAGCCACAAGGTATAGACAGGAACTCTCAGGCTGGGGCAAGTGATGCTCTGTATTCTTGGTGCTTGGGGGGCAAGAGTGGGAGGGCTTCTAGTGTCCTGGCCCCACTGGTGGACCTCCTGATGGCACCTGGGATTATTGGCCACTGTGTGACAGAGTATTGGACTGGATGGGCCTTTGGCCTGATCCAACATTGGCTTCTCTTATGTTCTTATGCCCTGAGGTGGGGGGAGCACAGGCCAGGGCCCAGGGTTCCTGGCAGAGACTACTGTGGGAAGCACCCCCTGCCCAGTTACTAGCTAGGGCTCCATGCACTTCTGCAGGCAGCTATGAGCATGGGCAGTGAGAATGCTTGTGAGCAGACAAGGGAAGGAAGCTCAAGCAAGAGCCAGTTTGGTGTAGTGGTTAAATGTGTGGAGTCTAATCTGAGAGAACCGGGTTTGATTCCCAACTCCTCCAGTTGCAGCTGCGGGATGACCTTGGGTAAGCCATAGTTCTGTCAGAGCTGTTCTCTCAAGGACAGTTCTGGAAAGAGCTCTCTCAGCCATACCTACCTCACAGGATGTCTGCTGTGGGGAGGGGAAAGGAAAAGAGTTTGTAAGCCACTCTGAGACTCCAAGTGAAGGGCGGGGTATAAATCCAATCCAATCAGCTCCCAAATGAAATTTGAGCTCTGCGGGATCTTCAACAAATCCGTACAGCGGTAATGACCGAGCTGTTCCGGCAAGCATTTTAATAGTCCGACTACACTGTCCTTACACATAATTACCAATACTTAATAACAGATGTCCGCCACGTCTTAATCTTAACTGTAATAGTTGTATTTTGAGATTTTACCAATTGTATTGTTTTGACTTGATATTTTATCAATTGTATATTGGTTTTTAACTATTGTAAGCTGCCCTGAGCCGCTTCGGCGGGAGGGCCAGATAAAAGTCTAACAAACAAATAAATAAATCTCCTCCTCCTCCACTTTTTCTTCTTCTTCATAGAGGCTTAATGGGAAGTTATTTACCAGGTGATGTTATTTACCTCTGTGCCATGAGAAGATTCAGCCGCCCATTTCTACTTGTTAAGACTCTGTTACAGGGACAGGACATTTTTCTCTAGGCATGTTGGCAGCCTTGTTTACTGGACTCCAGAGGTACATAGAAAAGATACTCTCCTTCCACTTTCTCCACAACATGCATCATTTTATAAACTCTATCGTGTCTCCTCTTAATCACCTTCCCCCCCCTCCCCTGGATGTAGAGTGCCTGTTTGCCTCACCCAAGGTATGCAAAATTGAGTGGTACCCAGGGAATTCCCTTGCATCCAACAAGCCCATTCTCATCGCTGATTCGCCTCAGCCTTTCCTTGCACCTCACACAGCCACACACTGAGAAGCGATAGCAGTTTATTGTCTCATGTGCAGTCACAAGGCATCCTCTGGCTCGGGACCAGATAAGAGTGGAGGCACAGATAGGAAAGCAATTTAGCAGGAAGCAGCTCCTGTCTTGTAAGATTTGCCCAACTCTGAGGCTAAGTGTTATTCAAAAACTATGTAAGACTTTTTATATCAGGAAGAATTTTCAGGGCTAAGCACGGACATTATCTTGGAACAATACATTTAAATCTGTTGTCTATTAATACAAAACCATGTGCTTCAGTGACTGGCTGACTCACTGCTAGGGTTTTCAAAAGTGTTGAGGCCCTTCAACAGCAGAGAGAAAGTTGAAATTCAGTAGACACATAGTACACGAAGCCCTGATTACTAGAGATATCTGTACCTCTTTCTCGAAAGAAGTTAAAACTCCAGCACAATGCAAGCCAAGACAATGGTGAGACAGGATTCCAAGCCAAATTAGGGGTGAGAATCAACACAGGGCTCTTATATTGCCCCAGCGGGCTGAAGCTGAATTGGCACAGGGCCACACATGGGCCGATTCACAAGATGTAGGGTGCGGTCAGTCAGACGGCATGCTGGGAGCAGTTTAAATTGCTCCGGCCCTGATGCGTTTCTTTTTTAACCTGGAGAATTGTGATCACACTCACCTCCTTGCTCCAGATTGCTGCGCAGCCACATCGCTCCCTGCCGTCCACACGCGGGAGCGTGTGTTGGTGTTTGGTTTCTCTCTCTCTCAGTTTGGGCATGCACACAGGCATAGAACTAACATTTTCGCGCGTGCGCAGAACAGCGATTTCCACTTCAACCCGACTGCTGTAACACTTTCCTTTAAACTTTAAAGGAACACTTCCATTTAAACGTTTACCCCGAAAATGGCCTTTGTGAGATCCCAAGCTCATCTAAACGCTAAAACTAGGTGAAGCAGAGAAAAAAGGAGGGGGGAGCAAGAAAAGTTAGGGACGGGGTGGAAAATCCCAGCATGCGCTCAGCAAGCAGCGAAACTCAAGAGGCGCTCGTCAACACCCTGGGTGGATGTCGGGGTGGAGACCAAGATAAGAAAGTGTGTACGTAATTGAACTGTATAAAACTATTGTTCTTCCTGTGTCCGAAGCCCAGCCCTTTTTGAGCGCTCCTCGCAGCAATCTCACAGCCACCGGAAACTCAAAAAGCGCACCGTTTAGACATTGTTTTTAATAATGCGGTGACGGACTTCCACCTATGCGCACACCACCAACGCTTTTTTAAAAATGGTGGGCGAAAAGCGGAAGCCTCGGGCAGCTTTCAAGCGGGGAGGGGGTTTAAACCAGAAGTGGCTCGACACCGGAGAAGCGATCACACGGGAAAAATGCAGCTGGAACGGGAGAATCAGGAAAACACCACTTGGGGACCTGGTATCAAAATACTCCGGGTTAAAGCGGTTTTGAGCCAGAAAGTGACAGCTGGGGATGGGAAGCAGATGTTGACTGTGTGATCACGCAGATAAAATCCGTTTCTGAACTGGCACAACACCAGATCAAATGGCGCATCTGACCGCACCCGTTGAGTCACAAGAACTTTGTATCAGACGTATGATGGGAGTTCTGTGCTTATCAAATGCATGATTTGTGATCATGTCCCCAATGTGTGGTTCAAAGCATCTGCAGTCTTCCTGCCCGTATACCATTTTTACATCCAAAAACAGCCCAGGGGAGTTGTTATCCGCTCCACCGGGAAAGTTATATGTAATAATGGCTCGATGTCAGTTTCCTCACTAGTGTAACTAGTGCTCCCACTGGGGCCATTTCAGGACGTGAAAATGGTACACGGGGTAGAGGGACTGAAGCTGCTTCTACCTATGTGCTGCAGTCATGAACAGAATGGGGCCTGCATGCATCTGGGGGTACAGAACTCCCCTTGCCTCATGTGTCATGAGATAGAAAGAATACATGTTGTGAGGCAAAACACCCCTGGCCTCCCCCTCAAGGGTTAACATGAATAGCAATGGGCCTGGTCCATCTTGCAGGTGTTACTAATTGGTCTCTTGGCCTTATCTTCAAGGCCAGAGCTAGAAGTGGTTGGATGGCGGGAAAAGGGTCAGGGGTAATGAGGTAATTTTCTAGAGGCTTCTCTTAAGAATGTTTTCTGGTTGTTGTTCTGTTATTGCTTACTTCCATTATCAAGAAAGATT